TACAATAACGAAATGTATGCTTTATCAGACACCTCATCTCGCGAGAGGCAGATTTTCGAATGCTGAGGTTTTCTCCTTCTGTAACTGAATAAGTGCTGCGAAGACAGAATGGCAGTAAAAGCAATGAACTTTGCAGCTCTGGGGAGCACCCCACATGCTTGCTTTGCCTCTAACGCACCAAAACCCACCAAGGGTAGGGTTTTCGCCGTCAGATTCTCTGCCACTCGCTCATCTGATGGCGCCGCAATTGGTAACCCCGCAGCCCCGCTGTTCCCTTCCATTATCTCTTTACATGCCATAATTTAATGTTCCTTTGTGCTGATGTAACTGCTAATGATGGAGCTTTAGGTCTCGCGGAGAGGCCGTGGAAGGTGGCGGATGCTAGGCTTGTTCTTGAAGACGGTTCTGTTTGGAGGGCTAAATCATTTGGTGCTTCAGGAACCCAAGTTGGTGAAGTGGTTTTCAATACATCCTTGACGGGGTAAGATGAATTTTGAATCACAATCTGTCTCAAGTGAATTGAACTTATATTATTTGGGAGATTTGTCAGTGGCATTTGGGTTTAGGATGGGAGAATGTGACACTGAGTTTTTACACGGATTGAGGGTGTAATACATTTATGCATTCGATGCCATGTTTACTGGAATGTGTATGACATTTTGATATTAATTAAATTCTCTCTATGTACCCAAAAAGGAAAAAGAGAGAGAAGAGAAAAGAGTACAAGAGATGAGTGATTCAGAATTGCGGATTTAAGCCATTATTCTCAGTCACATGTGAGAGTGCAAGCAAGAAAGATGGCTTCCAATCTCTCTTTTACACCATATTGATTGAACAGCATTTTCTTTTACAAGTAAAATGCTGTATATAATGCATATATCTCTATGTGCAGTCCGTTTCATTGCCACAATATATGTATTATGCAGGTATCAGGAAATTCTAACAGACCCTAGCTATGCTGGTCAGTTTGTCCTGATGACAAATCCACATATTGGCAATACAGGGGTAAACTTTGGTAGGTAAATTTTCCCTTTCAGTTCTTTCCAACTTCACTTATTGAATACTACATGTAGTCTAATAATTAATGCCTTTGCCATCAGATGATGAGGAATCAAGGCAGTGCTTCCTTGCTGGTCTGGTGATCAGAAGCCTAAGCATAACGTAAGTTTACTTTGTTATTTCTGCACTAAGAAAATGTAGAGATGGCTGTCACTTATATTTAGTCATGTTTTTATTAAAATTTCAAACAATTGCCTTTAGGACTTCAAATTGGAGATGCACAGAAACACTTGATGATTATTTAGCAGAAAGGAATATAATGGGAATTTGTAAGTTATATTTCCTGCCACTGATATCTAGATACCAATGGAGTAATTACATAATATGTTCTAATAGTTTCTTACGTAGGAGAAAAAATTATTTTGTATTGGGACAGATGATGTCGACACACGAGCAATTACTCGCAGATTGAGACAAGATGGAAGTCTTATTGGTGTATTGAGCACTGAAAAATCAAAAACAGATGAAGAACTTTTGGAAATGTCACGTTCATGGGACATTGTTGGTAAGAATTAGATGCAGTTACTTGAAAGGGGTTATAATTTATTTTATAAACAATGTGAAGGACAGAAAGCCCTTAGTTTTCTTGTTTTCACTTTTTCAGGTGTTGATTTAATAAGTGGTGTTTCATGTGATGCCCCTTATGAGTGGGTTGACAAAACAAGGCCAGCATGGGACTTTAACAATGATGGAAGGGATGGAGAAGCTTACCATGTTAGTAGTATTTGGCATAGTTAATTTGGAGCTACTGAATGCTTCATTTGAGTTTACTCTAACAATTCTTCTTGCCTTTTTGACTTGAAGGCTGTTGCATATGATTTTGGGATCAAGCACAATATACTGAGGCGTTTGGCATCTTATGGTTGCAAAATCACTGTTGTACCATCAACATGGCCAGCATCTGAAACTCTAAAAATGAAGCCTGATGGAGTTCTTTTCAGCAATGGCCCAGGGGATCCATCTGCAGTTCCTTATGCAGTTGAAACAGTCAGGGAAATTATAGGAAAGGTTCCTGTTTTTGGAATTTGCATGGGACATCAGTTGCTAGGCCAGGCATTAGGAGGTAAAACCTTCAAAATGAAGTTCGGTCACCATGGAGGGAATCATCCAGTCCGCAACCTTCAAAATGGTTGCGTTGAGATTAGTGCTCAGGTGTGTTGAGCTCACAAACCTCTTTCCATGTGTATACATGATGTTAAAGGGTATCTCATGCATGCATGTACACCAACTTTTTTTCCTTGTTCGTCACAGGGGACCCCACCCCACCCCACCCCTAACAAAAAAGAGGAAAGAGGTTTTAATGGGTTTCTTTTACAATTGAGATTTCAAATATTTTATATCAAAAGAGGTTTTCATAAGCTTCATTTAGTCCTACAGTTATGTTTGAACTCTGCATGTGCTCCTTAGTTACTCCACTCAGGTGCTATTATTGTCTTCTTACATTGGCTTGTGTTCTGACCTTAAAATTTATAATCTGCCAGAATCACAACTATGCAGTTGATCCAGCCTCACTCCCCAAGGGTGTGGAAGTGACTCACGTCAATCTTAATGATGGTAGCTGTGCTGGTCTTGCTTATCCTGCACTGAACATTATGTCTCTTCAATACCATCCTGAAGCATCCCCAGGGCCTCATGACTCTGATTGCAGTAAGAAGAATTTTCCTTACTAAACCTCTGCAAATATCAAGTGTATAGTCAAAGTTTTCAATTCATTTATTGAAATTGCCTGTCTTAAGGTTTGCTGAGGAAAAAAAAAAAAAAGTAATTGCCAATGTTAATTAATTTCATGGGCAAAAACTGAGAGGTTAAGTAATTTCTTCTTTAGAAACTGAGAGGGAGAGCAGTGAGCACACTATGAGTGTTTCCCCTTTATTCTCTATCTCCTTCCCTTGTTTAAATCCTTTTCTTCCAAGTTCCAGAACCAGATATTGCAGATTCCTATGTTGTATGTTCCTTTGCAACAGTCATATTTCTTTTATGCACATGACACTGACACAAGTTAATTTCTGATTCAGCTTTTAGAGAATTCGTACAGCTTATGAAGTCTGTCAAGCAAAAGGCTTGAGCGAATATTTGATGGGTTGTATCTGAAACCTGGAAGTTGATGGGGATAATTATGATGTTTCACTTGAGAGTTGCTCTGCCACTCTGGCTGTGGACAAAATAAAAGAGTGCTTTATGTCTCACCATTTTGCCTGGATTACTTTAAAGATTGTCCTTGTGAGGAGGACGATTACCATTTATTGCATTTGTATTTGTCTAATAAAAATAGTTGGTATGGTTTTAGCATATGAAGTAACGCTTGTACCGAATACTGGTTATGTAGTTTTATGCATTTTGAAGTAATAGGCAATGGCAGTCACCTTATACATCTATAGGAGTGTTTCTTTAGTAGTTTGGCCCCATCACAGGTGCCCTTTTTCAACGAGGGGCATTTGCTGTTCTATTTCTTCTTAGAGTCTATTTGGCCTAATTATGGCTTTTGTAGATAGTGTTTGATTAGATTCTCTTGTAAGAGCTCTGAATCATGAATTCTTACAAATGATTTTAATTTTTTTAGAAATTAATAAAAACTATAAAAATTCAAAAACTCAACTATAAAAATTATACTTCAAGTTTGTAGCATTAACTCTGGTTTCACTCATTTCAGAAAAATCTGAAGTAATTTAGAGATAGTAGCATTTAGCCTAACCTAAACGTAGCCAAACAAAGAAAATCATTTCAGATACTGAGCCAAACAAAGCTTAGTTGAACTTGGACTCAAGACTCAAGGTTATTGTGACTTAAATAGGTTGCTTAGATGATCAGCCCAAGTAAATTCGACCGGTCACCTTCACTTGGCCAATTGCAGAAAAAAAGCAAGAAGCCATCGACAAATAGAATTTAAGGACCTTCGATTATCACCTACTCTTTGTTTCTCTCTTTACTCCACATCTAAAGCCCACCTACAGAATTACATTTTAAATTTTATTCACAGTATCAAATGTAGCAATTGCAAGTGAGGGTTTGAAAATGGGAATGCTTGGTTAACATTTAACAATTTCAATTTTCCATGACAATGACTAGCAAACAGATTTCCTTTAGACACGGTCTATCTGATATCATGGCTCAGAGAATTTCTTTTGCTTTTCCTTGCGAGAAAATATTGCATTCCAGATCCCGAAGAACAAGTCAGCTTTGGATAATGTAACATAGTATATAATAATTAGTATTCAAATCCGCAGACCTAGCTCTACCAATCTTAATTCATACCGTACTCAACAAAAATTCCTGCAGATATTAAATTATAAAATATCAATTAAGTTGCTTCCCAATCTCAACTTAAGACCAAATCTTCATCCAGAAGGAAGGGCCTAGGTCAGATGAATTACTAATTTCCAAAGCAAAATCTAGTAGAGAAGCCTTCAAAACCAAGTATCAAATTACCAAGTGTATGACTGCAAACTGACACTAATTTATAAAATGTCTCATACAATAGCTATTAACATTAATGTTCCCAATGATTTAAAAAAACTTGCAATATAGAAATTTTAAAAATGATAAAAAGGAGCATCACAATCACTCTCCAGCTACAAACATCCTACTAATGACATGGTTGAATGATGCAAGGCAAGGACAGTCTTGAGCACCAAGAGTCTCTGCTCACCATATCTAAGGGCCATTATTGGCAAGCCTCTAAATGATGGTAAATCTCGTCCAAGACAATAGATGAAAAGCTTTATGATACATCAAAGATAGAAGTACTCCCTCCTTTGAAAATCCCCAGCTTAACACTTCTCCACATCAACCAGACTTTGACTTCAGTTGACACGACAAAAAGCCACTAAAGAAGATAACTCACCATCCAAGCAATTTCAATACTTAGAAACACTTCCTGTGGACAATGGCTGGACCAGACTCATCATATTCACCCTTTGAAATCCACATCTGATGCAAAAAACAACTAAATGATGTTAAACTTTGAGCAAAACTTTATCTGAATGCACCAAAAGAAAAAAAAGAGAGGGGGGACCCAATAAACTAAAAATAAGCAAAAAAAAAAAAAAACACTTCACCTGCTGGAAGGTGCTGAGGGATGCCAGGATTGATCCTCCAATCCAGACACTGTACTTCCTCTCAGGTGGGGCAACAACCTTAATCTTCATGCTGCTAGGAGCTAGAGCAGTGATCTCCTTGCTCATACGGTCTGCAATACCAGGGAACATAGTTGAACCACCACTGAGCACAATGTTACCATAAAGATCCTTCCTGATATCGACATCACACTTCATGATTGAGTTATAGGTTGTCTCATGAATTCCAGCAGCTTCCATTCCAATGAGAGATGGCTGGAAGAGGACTTCTGGACAACGGAACCTCTCAGCTCCAATAGTGATGATTTGTCCATCAGGCAACTCATAGTTCTTCTCAACAGATGAGCTGCTCTTGGCAGTCTCAAGTTCCTGCTCATAGTCCAAGGCAACATATGCAAGCTTCTCCTTCATGTCACGGACAATTTCCCGTTCAGCAGTGGTAGTGAACATGTAACCTCTCTCCGTAAGAATCTTCATCAAAGCATCAGTGAGATCACGACCAGCAAGATCTAGACGAAGGATAGCATGTGGAAGGGCATAGCCTTCGTAGATTGGCACAGTGTGAGACACACCATCACCAGAATCAAGGACGATACCTGTTCAATACAGTGATAGTTAATAAAGAACAAATAGATGGAATAATAAAGAACTAGAAATACTCAAGTGAAAAATTGAATTGATTGTTACAGACCTGTTGTACGACCACTGGCATATAATGAAAGAACAGCCTGGATGGCTACATACATGGCAGGCACGTTGAAGGTCTCAAACATGATCTGGGTCATCTTCTCTCTATTAGCCTTTGGGTTGAGAGGTGCCTCTGTAAGAAGCACAGGGTGCTCCTCAGGAGCAACACGGAGTTCATTGTAGAATGTATGATGCCAGATCTTTTCCATGTCATCCCAGTTGCTCACAATACCATGCTCAATGGGATACTTCAAGGTAAGGATGCCTCTTTTCGATTGGGCCTCATCACCTACATAGGCATCCTTCTGCCCCATTCCAACCATGACACCAGTGTGTCGAGGTCTGCCAACAATACTGGGGAATACTGCCCTAGGTGCATCATCACCAGCAAAACCAGCCTGGAAATATTATATTGAGTTATACACTGTTCATACTGAAACAACTACTAGAATATCAAGATAACGCATTTCTAGCGTCCACAGATAATGTCCCAACAGAATTCACTAACCTTGACCATTCCAGTTCCATTGTCACAAACAAGGGGTTGAATATCCTCGGTGTCAGCCATCTTTTACAATACTGCATACAAGGAAAACAGGAAATGAATAACACAAAATCATTTTCCAATTAGAATGTCTATCACGTTCTTCTCTATTCCAAGTGGAAGAAAGTAAAGTAAGTATGTGTAGAGTCAGTCCACATAGGAGTAAAGGCTTGGAAACAGTTTTGGAATCCCTGCGTCTGCTTCCCATGTATTTTACAAAAATTAGGAACTGTAAGATAAATCCATAAACAACAAGACGTAGAGCAGATCATTTACAAAAGAAAACAAGCTAACTTAGACATCAAAATCATTTACAAAAAACACTACTATCAGAATCCAGACATAATAAAGCAGATCCAGCTAACCAATAGTAGAATCATAAAATACAGATCCAGAGATCAGAAAACCAGATCAGGAAACCAAACCAAACAATTACTAAAGCCAACTAAAGCCAGAACGAATTAAAATTGCAAAATCGGCAGCAGAGATCGTCAATGTAAGCACAGATCTCACTTTCAATAGCACAAAAACATCAGAACGAGCGACAGAATCCTCAGATCAGCGAAACATAAATCGATCCATCGCAATCTCAAATCGGAAAGACAAAGCCTCGAAGCTAAACGATCGAGAGAGCTTACCTGAATAGGAAATCGGCGACGAATTCAGCGAGAGAGAGAGAACCGAAGAAGAAGCAGAAGCAGATGATGGAGTAAAGACGATGACGGTCTCTCCTCTTCCTCTGCTTCTCTGTGTGGGGAGGAATACAGTGGCTGAGCAACCGGAGGCGGAAATGGAGAGTGAAGGGGAGAAAGAGAGGGTAGTTTATATATATGGGATTTTTGAAATGCAAATGAAATTTGGACGAAATTAAGAATTAGGGGAAAGAGAGAGGAATCATTTCAAGCACGAGAAAAAGATAGCGTGACCTGGCTGGCTGGCAGCTTTTTAACTCACCTCCCCATGTTCTTCGCTTTTTTTGAATCCTTGATGTAATCTCAGCCGTCAGATCAGTTCCTGGGAGTCGTAAAAAATCAGCTGTACTCGTGAGCTCGCTATATGCGCTCCGTTTTGTAAGGGTCTGGTCTGGGGATTGAGGAATGTCCTGCTCTTGCTGAATTATTAGGCCCGCGGCTCGGCTCCGCTCGGCTTGGAATATTGTAAAATGCCTTCTTTTTTTTTTTTCTTTTTTTTAATGGTGTAAAATTTTAAATGGTACTTGCAGTCGCTGATTTGCAGTCAGTGTCAGTAGAAAATTCCATTCACCTGGATATTATAATTTTGCGAAAAAAAATTATATGATGGATTGTATTTTAAAAATAGAATTTATTTTATAAATTTATTAAAATATTTTTCATATAATTATTAATCATAATTATAT